ACTCATAGATAAGTGGAAATTAAACAACATGCTTCCTAATAAACACTGAGTCAGAGAAGTCAGAAGGGAAATCTGAAAAAAGTCTGAGGTGAATGGCAATGAAGAAACAACATACTGTCACTTTCAGTATTCAGCTAAAGTGTGCTTAGAGGGAACTTTATAGATGCAATGCCATATTAAGAAAGAAGGGCAGGCACAGTGGCTCACACCTGTAATCACAGCACACTGGGAGGCTGAGGTGGGAGGATTGCTTGAAGCAAGGAGTTTGAGACCAGCCTGGGCAACACAGTGAGACCATGTCTTTATAAAAATAAAAATTAGCTGGGCATTGTGGCACATGCTTGTAGTCCCTAGCTACTTGGGAGGCTGAGGTGGGAGGATTGCTTGAGCTAAGGTTGAGGCTACAGTGAGCTATGATCGTGCCACTGTACTGCAGTTGAGGTGACAAAGAGAGACCCTGTATCCAAAAAAGGAAAAGAAAATGAAAGAAAAAGAAAGGCTGGGTGCAGTGGCTTTTGTCTCATGTCTATAATTTAATCATATTGAGAAGCCGAGGTAGGAGGATCACTTGAGGCTGGGACTTTGAGATCAGCCTGGGCAACATCATGAGACCTTGTTTCCACTAAATAAATAAATTAATTAAAGTAAAGAAAAAAGAAGAAAGATGTTAAATCAGTAATCTAAACTTCCACCTTAAGACATTAGAAAAAGAAGAGCTAAACCTAAAAGAAGCAGAAAAAGAAAATAATAAAGATTAGAGGCTGGTCTGATGGTAATGGGTTATCAGAACTTATTAATGTTAGTGTCACTGAAGCTGGTATACAATCCCCCACTGCTAAATTTGACTGGCTTTAAACTTTTGTAGATTAGTGGCTGCTTAGAAGTGGGGACTGGGAGTGCTGGAGGTCATGGTTAAAGAGTATCAAGTTCTTTTTGAGGTGATTAAAATGTTCTGAAATTGACCATGATGATGTATGCACCTGTTTACAAATCACCTGTCTATGAATATACTTAAGTCCCCTGAATTGTACACTTGAAATCAGTAAATGGTGCCATATATGGGCATTGGAAGGCATCCATAGTTTGGATGTCTCCTCCAAATCTCTTGTTGAAATGTGATCTCTAGCATTGGAGGTGGGTCCTGGTGGGATGTGACGGGATTACGGGGTGGACCCCTTACAAATGGCTTAGCACCATCCCCTTGGTGGTGAGTGAGTTCTCAGTTCACATGAGATCTGGTTGTTTGAAAGAGTTTGGGTTCCCTCCTTCTCTCTTGCTCCCACTCTGCCTGCTCCCCCTTTGCCTTCCGTCATGATTGGAAGCATCCTGAGGCCCTCACCAGAAGCAGGTGCTGATGCCATGTACAGTCTGCAGAACTATGAGCCAAACAAATCTCTTTTCTTGTAAGTTACCCAACCTCAGGTATGCCTTTACAGGAACACAGGAATGGAACTATATCTTAACGAATGAACTGTATCTTACCTATATCTCAATTAAGCTGTTAAAAAAGCCAGCTGCAAACTGAGCCAGAGTGAAAATACAATACAACACAAGAACTCTGGCATTTAAGGCACCTTCTCACAAGAGGAGTGTTACTGGAAAGGGGTCCAGACCCCCACAGAGGGTTCTTGGATCTCTCACAAGAAAGAATTCAAGGCGAGTCATAGAGTAAAGTGGAAGCAAGTTTATTAAGGGAGTAAAGGAATAAAGCTTGGCTACTCCATAGACAGTAACCCCGAGGGCTGCCGGTTGCCTAGTCTATGGTTATTTCTATGCTTATATGCTAAACAAGGGGTGGATTATTCATGCTTCCCCGTTTTAGACCATATAGGGTAACTTCCTGACGTTGCCATGGCATTTGTAAACTGTCATGGTGCTGGTGGGAGTGCAGCAATGAGGATGACCAGAGGTCACTCGTCACCATCTTGGTTTTGGCGTGTTTTAGCCAGCTTCTTTCCTGCAGCCTATTTTATCACAAGGTCTTTATGAACTGTATCTTGTGCCAACCTCCTGTCTCATCCCTGGCCTTGGAATGCCTAACCTCCTGGGAATGCAGCCCAGTAGCTCTCAGCCTTATTTTACCAAGCTAGAGTCAGTCTGGTTTAAACACCTCTGACAGGGGCAGGCCAACCTCCAGCAACCATGTGCAAAGTCCTATAAGTTGAAGGGCAGCTTGAGATAGGAGAGGGGGCTGCTTTAATGCCACTTTGATGGAATGCACTCAAGATGATTTGAGGCGTCCCGCTTACCTTCGCCCCCTTGTTTTCCTCCTATTCTGTTATTCTTCATCAACTCAGCTGTATAAAACCTGAAGCAGGGTATCCAATGGGATTAGAATAGTCATGGTGCTGAGCCTGGGGAAGGAACCATCTTATCTTCTATTCGTCTGCCTGAGGCGAGTTCTGAGCAGGAGCTGGTTGTATTATGGGGACTCCCGTCAGGCCTGGTGGAGAACAGAAACGCATCTTGGACCCTTTCCCATTAACCTCAGACTCTCCCATAATTTACAGGCTGCGTGGTTTATTTGTTCTTTAAAACCCTTTCTTGTTTTCGCCTTTTCTTTGTGCTTTATATAATGCACATTTATGTCATTATAGAGCCTGATTTTCAACAATGGGCTTTTTTGTGTGCTTTTGATTCAAACACAAAAAGCTCCACTTCAACGTAACAAATAAATTCCCAGCCATCATTGTGCCAAAGAATCCACAAACCTCAAACACACTTGGACTGGAAGGCACTTCCTGTTCCCCCTCTGAAGCCATGCACCCCTCCCCCGGCCTCACCGAGGAGCCTTGCACACAGGGGCCTGTTTGTCAGGATTTTGAGTATGAATCAGATTGCTGTGGGGTTAGCCTGTCTCAGGCCCCTCAGTCCTGCATCTGGACATGCCCCTGATTTGCTTGCAGGCTTTCTGTTCAGAGCATTTTCTGTGCTGTGGGCAGGATTCCCCACCTCACTTCCCACGTGCTGGGGGTGGAGGGCTGGGGAAGACAGGGCCCGCCTCACCTGCATCCTCTCTGAGCACCCTCTGCAGCTTGTTCTCATCTGCAGGCATTTGTCCTCTGCCACAGAACCTGCCTTGGCTACCTCAGTTCACAGGTGACTCCTGGCCTGCGGCAGCCTCTAGGGGGTCGCCCTGCGTGTCCTCGCATTGCTGGTTAGCTTCCTCTCCTGCCCTCCTCTGCTCTGCCTCCACTGGGCTGCAAATCGATTGGGGATTCCTGGAAGGTAGGGTCCAAATGTTAAAAGTCTTTCTAGTCACATGGTAGCCCCTCTTTCAGCCTCAAAGACCATATCTTTCAACTTGTTTACATAAGAAACCCTTCTCTTTGCAAAGCACACCTAGTCTGTTTCTAGGAATGTCATGGGGGTGGCTCATGGGCGCCCATGGAAAGTCCCCATCCGATCCCCATCCACCAAGCCCTCCTCTCTCATCACCTCTGCTGTGCCCACAGGGTCTCGCTTCCTCTCCCTCCACTGTTCAGGATTTCCAGACTCGGAGAGAATTTTACAACATCACGCTGTATTTCCTTTTGTTCTTACTGTTTGAGAGTCAGAATGTTATGTGCCAGTACATGGAGTGTCTGGTCCATCAGCTATGCCCACATGCTCTTCATATACAGGCACGTCTGACAGGGTGCAGCTTAGGCTGAGAAACAAACGGGCCCCCAAATGTAAGGCAGCTTAAACCAGGGAAGAGTTTCTCTGTTCCGTAAATGTCGGAGGATTCGTGGTGGGGTGGCTGGGCTGGCTGCACAGTACCCAGGCCCTGCCTTCTTCTCTCTGTGACTCTGCCGTCCCTTACAGCAGTGTTTCTCACACAATCTGGCGCACTACTGTCATTATTTCTATTATCATTTAAATTTCCAATCTATCTCAGAGCGCTGTGTAGCTTTGGCATAAAAAGTGCCTGACTCATGCCCAGGTCTGGTAAATATATTGAGGTGGGTCCACAGATCATGTACTTGAATGTCAAGGCGATATCAAGGTGCTCTGAAAGTTTGCCGAAGCTGACCCAATTTCTGTCCTCACCTCGCGCACTGGGAGCGAGGTTCACATAGTAGCTCCTGTGAGCAGGACAGATAGCGTGCAGGGCTGTCCTGGAATGACACCTCTCCCACGCAGCTGAAGGTGCTGATCACCATGCCCTGTGGCATCCACAGCACCCACAGAGCCACAGTGTCCCCTGCAGCAACTTTCTGGCAAGTGGGGTGGACAGGGGGCAGCACAAGACCTGTTCCTTCCCTCACGGGCCACCGTGCTGAGCACATGTCTCTTCTACTCACATCCCATCGGCCAGGGCTTGCCCACACTCCACACTGAGCTGCAGGGGTGGTGGGAAAAGACGGATTTTATTTTGGGCACCTACACACCCAGGTAAATTTCAGGGGTTCTGTAGCTAAAGAAATAAGGGATGAATGCATATTAGGAGACGTGATGCTAAATGTAAAACCACCCCACGCCCTGTTGGTCAAATTCACAGCAAGTGCAGCATCTCCTGCCGCTTCCCTGCTTGATCCAGATGCTCGAGGGCTTCCATGTTAGGTTCACTGAAGGAGCAGGAAATAAGTTGTATGCACACGAGATGAATAACTTCCTGGATAGGGCAGAGTACAGGTCTCCCTAGCAACAGGTGCCTGTGCACTGCTGCTGCTGGTGGCCCTGGAGACACTGACCAGTGGGCATCACTGTCCCAGCAATGGCATGTTCCCAGTGAGGTGCTTTGCTCTCCTCTGTACCACTGACCAGCCGCTTTGTTAATTCTCTATCATAGCGGAGATCAGACTGTACCCTTTGTTTTGGCCATTTTAGACAGTCTTGCTGTCAACCATGCTGGAGTGCAGTGGTGTGATCCCCGCTCACTGCAACCTCGGCCTCCTGGGCTCAAGTGATGATCTCACCTTAACCTCTGGAGTAGCAGGGACCACAAGCATGCATCACAATATCCAGCTGATTTGTTTATTTTTTTCTAGAGATGGAGGTGTTCCTATGTTTTCCAGGTGGGTCCTGAACTCCTGGCCTCAAGTGGTCCTCCTGCCTTGGCCTCCCAAAGTGCTGGGATTACAGATGTGAGCCACCATTCCCCACCTTGGATGATACCTTTTTAGAAGAGTGTGCTGAAGTTTGAGAAGAGCAAGATGGAAATACGACACAGAGGAGAACTTACGGGACACGCATAGCCCAGCCTCTTCTAGAAGTCCTCACCAGGTGCACCCTCTTCCTGCTGCAGGAAGTGCTCTGAGCATTGCTGCACTGCAAACTCCAGGCAGAAATGACTCCGAGAAGAAAGTACATAATCCCATCTCTAAGCTCCACTTCTAGATCCCCTGTTCCTCATATTAGAACCTTCCTCTTTCCAGGGCAGTGACCATATCTATTCCTTATGGAACCACCCACGGAGTGTGGTATTAGCCCACAGTCCCAGTAGAAACTACACAATTGTCAGACAGAACATTCCCCAGATCTGGGTTATGGAGTTGTAAGCACCGCTGCATGGAAGACAGCTCAGGTAGGGCTAAAATGATTGCAGCCTGCTTTTTTAGTCTCATAGCATCGATTATTCAATCCAGTTATTCACTCACCACCTTAGCCATCTTAGTAACAACGGGAATGGCTTCCTTTCTTTCCAAAGGAAGGCATCTGAAGACTTAAGTCACAGAGGTTGGCTGGCAGACTAGATCCCTGCATCATTTCTCTAACTCTCTCAGTACAGGATCCTTATCCATTAGGACAGGTTTCACTGCAAGTGAAGCCTCCAGCAGTCAGAGATTCTAAGGCTGGCCTGATCCTGAAGACAGAGGGAGGCTCGGCTAAGAGGTCACAGGAAGCTGCACAATAGCCCCGGGATAGACGTTCATGTTCTGGATTGGTTTCTGGCAGTCCTGTCTGCCTAATTTATGGTGGCAATTTCTCAGGTTCAGGACTAGTGGGGAGAGATGGAGTCACCTAGGAAGGGACCGGTCCTTTTGCCCCCGTGACTTCTATAACTCAGAGCATACTCTTGAAACTGCTTCTGCTCTTGAAAGCAGTAGCTTCCCAACCCAATTCATTACACACTCGTGAGACCACCTTAGAGAACCTTGTAACTAAAAAACCAGTTTCTGCAAAAGGGCAGTCCTGAGTTCTGCCTAATTTCACGTGGGATTTTGCTGTTTTCGTGACACCAGTGCAATGAAATGGCCTATCTCTTAGAAATGTAAAGATCAGTGATGGTAACATTCATAGCAGGGTTTTATGCTAGGTGGCAGTGAAATCCTCAGCACACCAGCAGCTCCCTACGCTCCTGTCTCTGGAATCTCCAGTGTTTATTTTATGTGAAGGAGAAACCAACACAGAACTTCTTGAACCCTTTATGTGGTTGAAGTTGGGCCTTCTCTTCTATTAGGGAGTGTGTGTCTATATCATGTTATTGTTCTTATACCAGAAAAGCTCGACATGTTTTATTATTTATGGTGTTACCTTGCTGTTTGAACTCAGAATTTCTTTGCCTGGAATCTCAGTTGTGACAAAAGAGCAGGAGACTGTTCCAGTCTTCAGTGGTGAAGCCTTCAGGTGAAAGAAATGGAGAAAAGAAAGGTGGAAGGATACAGACGGTGGGTCCTAGGAAGAAAGCCCTTTTCTGTTTTAGGCAGAAAATGTCGCTGTGCCATGTGATGAAAGAGCAGGCCTCAGTGAGGCCCAGGGTGTGACACATGGCAGGGAGCCCGGGTTCTTTTCTTCTCTCTAAACTCCCAACTTTTATAAATTAGTGCCTGGGCTTTCAAGGCCATGACCTTTGAGTTTCAAGAGTCTATTCAGAACTGAAAATCCAAGAATTTGATTTTTTGGTCTCTATCTTTTGGTCTGTTCACCTAGCCATGAATGACCAAGGGGAGGGAGGGCCACACAGCAGCTCCTGTGTGAGAAGATAATTCTCTATCTCAGAAAGTTGTACCAGCATCCTGACCTATGAATACTGGACAGCCACAAACGTGAAAATTCTAATGGTGATCACATTGTCTGATGCAGAAACAATGCTGTTCTCTTCCTTATGGTGTGAGCACACTGCAAAGTCCAATTTATATTTTATCACTGTATTAGTCCATTCTCAAGCTGCTATAAAGAAGGGCCCAAGACTGAGAAATTTCTAAAGGAAAGAGGTTTATTTGACTCACAGTTCTGCAGGCCTCAGGAAACTTACAATCAGGATGGAAGAGGAAGCAAACATGTCCTTCTTCACATGGCAGCAGAAAGGAGAAGGGCTGAGCAAAGTCCCTTATAAAATACTCAGATCTCATGAGAACTCATTCATTAGCATGAGAACAGCAGCATGGCGGCAACTGTCCCCTTGACACATGCAGATTATTACAATTCAAGGTGAGATTTGTGGGGATACAGCCAAATCATATCGGGGGAGGCAAACCGTATCAATCACATATCAACCCCTGAGGAAGAAGGGGAGGAAGAGGGGGCACATAATGATGATGATGAGACTTTTTTGTTCCATTTGGAGATATAACAAGTGTGTCTCATGAAGAGGAGGAGGAGGAGGAGACCCAAGGAGGAGAAAGAAGGAGGCAGAGAGAGATGATGGTCGCTGGTGTGGGAGGAGATGCCATATCCCTGTGAGGAGTGGCGCCAGGGCCTTGCTGATGGCAGGGAACATGGGAGTCTGGCCATGAACATTTCCCTGGAGGAGCTGGGTGTTTGTGCTGCGTGGAGGGTGAGGTTGGCTGGCTCCAATCCCAGGGAGACACAACCTCAGCCTGCATTTATACAACTACACTTCTCAGGCTTCTCAGAGGAGCCACCTCTACACTCTAATATCCTCATGCCCTGAAAGGCTCAGCTAGACCTTTCCAGGGTCCCAGTGAGCATCCAGCAGTGATGGCAGGACTGGCAGCATGAGTCAAAGGGTGCAACAGTGAGAAGTACCTCCTGCACCCCCCCCCGGATTTGGAAATGTGAGGGGACACATTCAGTTGTCACACTGTGGGCCACAGTTGAGAAGCGCCCCAAGAGTCAATGCTGAGGGCAGAAGGTGGTGACATGCACGTGCACAAACTCCTTCCCACGTAGAGTACCTCTCGGAAACCTTCCTCTGTGGAATGAAATGGCGAGAATACGGATGGGGCCAATGGGGCATGGGTGTCGTGCACCCCAGCTCCCCAGTGTTCCAGACTGTGGGATGAAACCAGCATGCCTGACTCACAAGCAGAAGGCAGAGGTCGGAAGGGGCAGCAAATGGTCTCACACTTTCAAAGCTGGTGAGCACTCAATCTGAATCCTGAGTTAAACAGATGTCTTGGCCGGGCGCTGTGGCTTACACCTGTAATCCCAGCACTTTGGGAGGCTGAGGCGGGCAGATCACAGGGTCAAGAGATCGAGACCATCCTGGCCATGGTCTCTACTAAACCCTGTCTCTACTAAAAATACAAAAATTAGCTGGGTGTGGTGGCATACGCCTGTGGTCCCAGCTACTCGGGAGGCTGAGGCGGAAGAATCGCTTGAACCCAGGCGGAGGTTGCAGTGAGCCAAGGTTGTGCCACTGCACTCCAGCCTGGCGACAGAGTAAGACTCCGTCTCAAAAAAACAAAAACAAAACAGATGTCCTGCAATTCAGTAGATCAACCAAGTGACCTCTGCAAGGGGACGCAAGAGGGGTGACGAGTGTGCTCCCCAACTCCGGACCCGGGCTGCAGAGCTGAGCAACGCTGCCTCTCCCTCTTGTGAGCATTGCTGAGGTGAGTGGCTTTTAATTCCTCTGTGCCTCAGTTTCCTCTCTATATTATGAAAGTATTTCCTCCTACAAGGCAAGACTCTCTGAGAAGTTACTGTTCCCATATTGCACCACCCCAGAAATGGAGCTCACCAGTTTATCCCCATCCCAATGAGCTGGTGGACTCTAGAGATAAGAGCGTGGGACGGGGAGGCCGGGCCTTCACTTTGTCATTTGTGAAATGGGATGGCAAATAGCCCTTCTCTCACAGGTGAGGTGGGAACCGGTGAGCTGAAACATGAAAAGTGGCTTTAAAATATTACCTGACTCTCCGGGGCCTCGAGGCGATCCAAAGCCACAGGCTGTAGCATGCAGGAGAGATTTCATCCTGGATTTCTTGGAGACAAGAAGACGTGGTTAAGTCAGATGGTCAGGCAGTCCCCGCATTAGCCATGTCTGGCCTCTCCTTGGTGTTCCCCTTAGGTTGCCATCACGGGAACCTCCCTCCACCGTGTCTGCCTGTCTTGAATATTCCTATCACTATTATGGGACTTTTACTTTGGGATAATAGTGGAAAGTCTTAGCAACACCATTTTAACAGGAGGCAGGCCTTGTTTAAAAGCAGTCTAGCAGTGCTTTTATTATTATTATTATTGAGATGGAGTCTCACTCTGCAATCGCCACTTCCTGGGTTCAAACGATTCTCCTGCCTCAGCCTCCCAAGTAGCTGGGATTACAGGCGCACCCCACCACGCCTGGCTAATTTTTGTATTTTTAGTAGAGACATGGTGTCACCATGTTGGTCAGGCTGGCCTCAAACTCCTGAGCTCAAGTGATCCCCCCACCTCAGCCTCCCAAAGTACTGGGATTACGGGCATGAGCCACCACACCCGGTCGGGCAGCACTTAAGTACACACGAAGCCCATGTGCAGCAATTCTGCTCCTACCTGCTCACAGGTCGTGGGGGTCATGCCCCCCTCAACTGTGTGCTTCATGGCAGCACTGTCTGCAGGAGAGGCAGAGTGGTCTGCAGTACTTAGAGGCAACAGACGAGGTTCATAGCAGTTCAGAGTGAAAAGGCAGAAACAAAATGCTGTCTAGAGCCCGCCACTGTAAGGGAGAGTGGGGGACAGAGGCACAGGTAGAAATGCAGATTCTCCCTCCACTCCTGAATCTGCATCTGTGAATAAGGATGCCCAGGCGGGCACATTGAAGATAGGGAAGTGCGGTCTGTGGCACACAGAGCGGCGGCATGAGGAGAACAGGGGAAAATGTCAATGCAGTTAAAACTCAGGCAAGAGCGACACAGAGGCGGCGCATGCTTTCTCCTGGTGAGCAAGCTTCCTGCAGGCACCGTCTACAAGAAAGATGGCTGAAGACATGGACAAGCTCACCAACAGCCCGTGTCTCCTCCTCCCTCCCTGGCCTCAAGGCCCAAAGGGAACCTGTGAGCCAAGACCAAGCCTGGGTCCAGGGTCCCAGCCCTTTCGACCCACTGCTTTGCTGCAGCCGGGCTTCTGTTCCTGCCTTGAGTAAGAGTCCCTCACTGTGCATTTGCTGCAGCTACTCATTAAGGCAAAGCGCTTGCACATGAAGTCATGTGGAAAAAAGGGAAGGGATTTAAGGCATAGCATTTGCTAGATGCAAACATAAGAAGGGAAGATGTTTTCATCAAACATTGATTCCCAGTCAAAGCTAAATTCCAGAGATTGGGAAGGGTGAGATCAATTAGTATGAAGCTGAAAATAATTTTGTGTTCAGTGTCTCAGTGCTCTGCCATTTGCTTACAGTATGTCTGTTGCCTTATATAGTTACTTCAATGCACTGGATGGTGAGTTAAGAAGGAACAATTAGTAAGAGAAGCATGGTTTTAAAGAAAAGTCTTGGGGAGAGAGGGTGGAGGTAGAGAGATGTGATAATCCCAGACCACTTCAACGGTTCCCAGAATAGCCACAGGAACTCATGGAGCTGGAAATGTCCGTTGCAAGATGCTGGCTTTTTGGCATCCTTTTCTTTTCTTTTCTTTTCCCTTCCCTTCCCTTCCCTTCCCTTCCCTTCCCTTCCCTTCCCTTCCCTTTTCCCTTCTTCCCTTCCCTTCCCTTCCCTTCTTCCCTTCCCTTCTTCCCTTCCCTTCTTCCCTTCTTCCCTTCCCTTCCCTTCCCTTCCCTTCCCTTCCCTTCCCTTCCTTCCCTTCCCTTCCCTTCTTCCCTTCCCTTCCCTTCCCTTTCCCTTTCCCTTTCCCTTCCCTTTCCCTTTCCCTTTCCCTTCCCTTTCCCTTTCCCTTCCCTTTCCCTTTCCCTTTCCCCTTCCCCTTCCCTTCCCTTCCCTTCCCTTCTTCCCTTCCCTTCTTTCCTCTCCAGCTCAGAGTCAGGAAAACGCTGGCATGATAATATGCTGGATAATGATAATAATAAGGATAACGATTGTCCTTCCAAGATGGTTACGCAGGAAACATCAGTGAAGCAACTTTGCAAACCCCAGGCCTACATCTGCCAGCCTTTAGCTGTGGGGCCAGCAATGCCATGTCAGCAATGGGTGACACAGAGTCATTGCAAATCGGAGAGAAGCAGTAGGGTTTTAGGAAGGTAACGGATAGTCGAGGCATTGAGTAACACTGAGCCTAGGCAAAGGCCCTCAGATCCCTGTCGGCAGAGAGGGGGTGGCTGAGCGCTACTGCCCACCCATGAGGAGAAAACCTTTTACAGGAACTCAAGAGGTCCTCATTGTCACTGAGTATTATTACTGCTCTACAAATGGATCACAAATGAGTGATGGGAATTTACACAACCCAAGAGCACTAATTTTTCCAATACATTGCTTGGGTATAGTAAAAAGTCTCCAAAATATCCAAATATGGAGATATATATATATATGTATTTGTGATTATCTTAGCCTGTTCGTGCTGCTATAATGGAATACCTTAGACCGGGTAATTTATAAATATTCGGAACTGATTTTTTATGTTCAGGAGGCTGGGAAGTCCAAGGTGAAGGCACTAGAGATTCAGTATCTGGTGAGGGCTGCTCTCTGCTTCTAAGATGGTGCCTCTAATGCACCCTCACACCGTGGGAGGGTGAAAGGGCATGAATGCTGTGTCTTCACTTAGCGGGAAAGAGGGAAGGGCAAAAAGGCACCAGTGCTCTCCAACTTTTTCGTAAGAGCATTAATCCATTCCTCAGAGTGTGGCCTCAGGACTTAATCACTTTCCCAAAAGTTCCACCTTTTAATACTATCACGTTAGGTATTAAATTCCAACATGAGAATGTTTGAGACATGAACATTGAAGCTATAGCAGTGATTCTTGGAATTGCATACTTGTTACTGTTAATCTGTAAAATGCACGTAGTATCTCTCCTGTTTATCATGTGGTATTTCTAGAAGGATCCAAAGAAGTAAAAGGGATGTGCAGATACAGCGTCTACTGCAAGAAACAAGCATAAGATATGTGTGCCAATGGAAAGATACGTTTGATGCTGTATTGATTCCTCTCACCTGAAAACCTTGGAGGGATGCCCCCTTCCTCCTGTTGGCTCCATTCCTAGCTGTTCCAGTGCTTCTCCCTCTCTTTTCTGTCTAGAACCTTCCATTGCCCTATACAACTACAGCAAAACCTTCTAGGAGATAGGTAACCCCAGCCCCTCTGCTCTGGAGGCAAAGTTTTCATGGTCTTTGGCAAAACGTTAAAAAGCTCAACATCGCTGATAATTAGAGAAATGCAAATCAAAATCACAACGAGATACCATCTAACACCAGTCAGAATGACTATTATTAAAAAGAAAAAAATAGCAGATGCTGGCAAGGTTGTAGAGAAAAAGGAACACATATACACTGTTTGTGGGGTTGTAAATTAGTTCAGCCATTTTAGAAGATGGTGTGGCGATTCCTCAAAGACCCAAAGACAGAAATACTATTCAACCCAACATTCCCATTACTGAAGGAATAGAAATCATTCTATTATAAAGACACATGCACGTATCATGTTCATTGCAGTGCTAGTCACAATAGAAAAGACAGGGAATCAACCTAAATGCCCATCAATGCTAGACTAGATAAAGAAAATGTGGTACCTATACACCCTGGAATAGTATGCAGCCATAAAAAAGAATGAGATCATGTTCTTTGCAGGAATATAGATGGAACTGGAGGCCATTATCCTTAGCAGACAAGGAATAGAAACCCAAATACCACATGTTCTCACTTATAAGTGGGAGCTAAATAATGAGAACACATGGACACAGAGAGGGGAACAGCACACACTGGGCCTTTTTAGAGGGTGGAGGGTGAGAGGAGGGAGAGGATCAGGAAAAATAACTAATGGGTACTAGGCTTAGTACCTGAGTGATGAAATAATCTGTACAACAACCCCCAAGACACAAGTTTACCCATGTAACAAACCCGTACCCCTGAACTTAAAATAAAAGTTAAAAATAAAAATAAAGGCAGTGAGGTACGTTTTCCCACCAAGCCAAATTTACTCAATTGAAAAAAATTGTCATTAATTTTGAGATTGTTTTCCTCCTTTTATTGGTAATAAAATACCATTCTAACATGATTTGCCATGAAAATGATAGAACACATAGATGCTAAGTTTCTTTTTTTTTCTTCCTTAATGTGTTTACTTGGAAAAATGACAAGTTGGCCACCTTATATAGGTCCTCCAGTCCTTTTATTTTAAAATTTCGATTGGCCTATGAAATTTCGCGGTCTGGGAATCACTGCTGAATGCTCCATTGCTTACTTTCCCAAGGCCTGAGGCGTGCCTCCAGGCAACGATGAGAAGCATACACTAGAAGCTATGCGCAAGAGCCTGATGAAGAGGAACCTGGGCTGGGTGTCTCTGACTTAGGAATGCATCTTCCCAGAACTTCGGGAAGGGCATCTGGAGCTGGTGCCAGCAAGGGTGACAGTTCCATGGGCAGGCACCCCACCAAAGCTCAGGGACTGCCTTCTGTGTCCTGCTGCTCTGGGTAGTCTTTCCCCAGAATCCTTAGTTAAAATTATCGGAAAGTAACCTTTCAATGGCCACTAGGGGTGATTCAAGCAAGTTTAGTGACCATTTTTGAGGGCTTGATGAGCGAGCTCAAGGCACCTATGGCAATTTATAGAGTTGTTTCTGAGGAGAAATGCATTCTGAGTTCCAGATTGCTAAATTAAAATTAAAGTCTTGAAGTATTTCATACATTCTCAGATAGGCTGGAACCCATCCAAGAGACTCAGCTGAATCCAGTAACAACAATTGGACGTCCAGAGTGGGTCTTGTACGTTACAGTCCTGGTGATCCCCGTGGAAGAGGATTCAAAGAGCTGGGTTCTAGAACTTCCAGGTCCTCTGTGTAGCCACCAGCCCTATGTGACCATCAAACACCTGAAATGTAGCTGGTCCAAGTGGTGATGGGCGCTAAGTATAAAATATACACTGGCGTTCAAATATGTAAAAAAAGAAAAGAAGAATGTAAAAGATTGGTTACATTTTAAAATAATATTTTAGCTATATTGTGTTTATAAATATAGTATTAATTTCACATATTTTTACTTTAAAATGTGACTAGAAAATGTTAAATTACATATGTGGCTCACATTTGTGGCTTGCACTGTTTCTACTGGACGGAACTCCTTTAGACCACATGTTGGAAAACTACACCCCCCGGCGAAATCTAGCTGATGGTCTGCTTTTGTAAATAAAGTTTTATCGGAACACGACACACAAATTTGTTTACATATTGTTTGTGGCTGCTTTTGAACTACAACAGCAGAGCTGAGGAGTTGTTACAGAAACTGTATGCCCCACAAAGCCTAAAATATCCACCAACTGACTTTTTATTGAAAAAGTTTGTTCACATTTGGTTTAGACTCTCAAGATTCAAATCCCACTTTAGCTGTGTGACTTGGGCAAGGGTTTTTCTCTGTATGTGCCTCCACTCCTCATGTGTTAAATGGGGGTACTGATAAAGCAGACCTTCCCCCAGGGGTTCTCATGAGGAATGGAAGAAATAGTACATATCAGCCATGGAGTAAATGTTCAACGGATGCGTCATGATCATCATTGTCATCAGCATCATTATCTCCTTGTGGTCATCATTATCATCATGTCATTGACATCATCTTCATCACCCTCCTCCTCCTCCTCGTCATCGTCATCAACATCATTGATTCAGAGCACAGGACTGGGCTCAGAGAGTTATCTGTTGTCCCTGGTCAGTCATGTAGTTGGCAGGTAAAGAAGTGAGGTCTCAAATTCTTTTGTTCTAACTCATATTTTGTTATTTCATTTTAAGGCCATTTAAAAGCAAAGCAAAACAAAACAAAATGGCTTTAGAAAAAGAACTGTCAAATGTTGGGAGAGTGCTTTATGTCTTGCATGCCACCTCACTGCCTTCCCAGATGTGGCCTCAGCATCATTCTCAACATAATTCTCCAGGCAGTACGCACAACTGGACTTGGCACTTAAGCTGAGACTTCCTTGTTACTCCTGGTCCAAATGGACTTCAAGGTCAGTTGGATAAATAAATTCTAATATAAATAGCTCTTAGCATATCAAATGTAAGTATTAATACATTATGCTTTGGGGGTCCCTAAGAGTTATGGAGATTTCTTTGCAAAAATTAAAAAATTCTTCAGTACATTATATGAATAACAATACTTAGCATTTATAGTCCTTTGTAATTCATAAAACATGTTCAGATATATAATTCTCCTTGAGTTCTACCATATTCATAGAGGATGAACCGAGCAGATACTGTTATTCCATTTTCATAGTTGGGAAAACGGAAGACCAGATAATTGATGATTGCTTGCCATTAGGAGGCTGTGGTGTCTGGCTCCAGTGTTTTTGTATCAGTGATCATGTTCCCTTAGAATCAGAGGCCTCAGATGAACTCTTTAGAGGTTTACCAGTGTGAATTTCTGAAGCAAGCTGAATATTTATGTACAAATTCAGCTGGCGGAGTCCTTGGTCCCAAAAATGTTTACTTTCTTTCACTTTTCTTCAAACATGTACCCTTCAGACCTATCTTTTTTTTCCCCAAACCTTGATAAAGAT